TCCCTACAAAGGTATTGAATAATAGAAGACTGGTGGTTGGGGTTTTTCTCCTTTTTTTTTTTTTTTTTTTTTTTGAAGTGCATAAATCTCAGTATTTATTGTATAATCATACATCTTATTATCAGTTTTACCTTTTGTATTTGGTAAACTGGCTATCAACAGATATCTTCCCTAAAGAGAAATTTGAAATCTATAAGCACCCAAAAAATGCATGAAATCAGTTAAGGATTACTTGGATGTGACATGCTCTCGGTTCACAGGTACATAATTTGTTGATGTTAAAGGAAGCAGTATGTGGAATTTCAGAAAATGGTGTAAAATTCAAAGAAAAGCCTGTGTATTATTTGTATGTAAATATCTTGTAAGTGCAATAATGCTGGGAATTACATTTCAGTATGCTAATCTACACATTTAAACACTATACCAATTAGAGCTGAGTGAAATGGATTTGTAGTTAAGAAGCTTGCTACTTCTGTCAAGGAAAGTGGTTTTTGGCACTGATTTGCATAAATTTACCGAACTTTGGTACAGTGAGGAAAACATGATGTGGATATCGAAGTTTGGGGTTTTAAAAAGTAGTTTAGATAAATATAGCCCACAATTTGGAGTTTTAAGGAGTCTAAATTCATGTGAAAGTTTTGCAAAAACATAAAATTGTGAAAGAAGCTTTTCTGCTCACTTTTTTGTGTCTTGTTTTTATACCAGATGTGTTCTGACCATGGAATTCAAGTACCATATCACCAGCCTTATGCCCAGAGTGCTGTAGCCACGCCTGCACCTGTAAGTATCAAACTAAGATAGTTAAAGTAAGCCTGGTAGTATTAGTGTCTCCTTTCTTGAAAGGGGCTAATAAAAGAAGAGGGGGAAGGATAATAAAGTCTATTGTAATGAATTAATAAGGAAAACAGAAATGTTGTAGAGAAACAGATTTTTCTTTGCTTGAGGCTTTGTTACAGAGGACATAACGCCTATTTTGGAACTATTTGGGGAAACAACAGAAAAAACCCTCATTTTAAAACTTAAGATACAAACAAAACTGAAATGAAAAATATATTTTGAGAGAAAACAGTGAACCTCATTCAGATATTTGAAATGATGGTTACAAATTCTTGTACAAATCTCTGGATCTTGGAGTTTAATTCATTACTTGCAGCCTTAGATAAGCACCTCATGTTGTGGAGAGGTGGGGTTTTGGAACATGGAGCATGAAAAACTGTCCCAGTCGGCCACCTGTAGGAGTTTTTGTGTGCAGTTCTGACTTTGAATGGCCATTCTAAAATGTGATTCTTCCATGTCACCTGACACAAGTTGTTGGGGTTTTTTGGGTCCCAATTTAAGGTCCTTCTGCCTAAATTAATAAGGTTGTTAACACGACATCTGAAATAATGTCTAAACTACACTTAGTCTAGATATGCCTGGTGATGAAGGACTAATGGTATCAGTAGTTTTAAGTGATATTACAGCACTTACTCTTCTGTGAAAGATGCTTACTTGACTACAAATGATAGACTAAGTATGAATGAATCAAAGCTGTGTTAGAGGTTCTTTTATATGTATTTTTTCATTTATTTTACATTTTTTTTAGGGGAAATTTTTTCCAGACTATTGTGTAACAATATCTACTAAGTATTTCCAGTAGAGGGGGCTGTAACATTAAGTGTTGTCTTGGAATAAAACGCAAGTGCTCCAATTAAAAAAAAAAATAGAAGTTGAGTATGAATTTGAGAATACTAATCTTGTTCATATTTTTAAGAAATATTTTAAAAGGGAGTTGGTGTAACACAGTGATCATAGTATCCAGTTTAGATTCCATTTTCTAACAGTGCATGAAAACACTTCAAAAAAAAAAAAAGGCAATAGTAGTTTCAGAATAAAAAAGTGCATACATTATCAAATACAGAAACAAGCTTTTTGACCTTGAAACTTTACTTTTACTATCTTTCCTAGGGCCAAGGCAATATAAACAAGATAGTTTAAGTTACAAGGTAGATCTGGAGCATGATAGTGCTTCCTCTTCTACAGTAATTGCCACGGCACCATGCTTTACCTTATAGCAAAGGCAAAGTAGTTTATTCTGTGATAAGTGATAATGTGTTCATTTACAGTAGAATATGTGCATGTACAGTAAAACCGTGTTTCATTACTGTGGTGTAGGAAATGAGCTGCAAATTCAGACTCTTATTTACCTCCTGATATAATATTTTCTATGTTTACTCATAGCTTTAGAAGTGATTTCACACACATCCAAAGTTGGCATAACCCAGCAATTCAGTCAATTTTTCCACACCACCCATCTCCTGTGCTGGTAGAGGTTTTTGAGAGGCAATATGCTAAACCAGGTCACGGAACTTATGTAGTTAAAGATGAAACTCCACTCCCACCACCCAAAAAGAGCTGAATTAAACCTGGATGAGTTGCTCAGACCAGTTTGTCAAGCAACTGCACAAACTTGTACCTATACAAGAAGTTTGGGATAGGATAAAGGAAGTAAGATTGTTATTAGCAGTGCAGACTGCAACCTGGTGAAATTCAGCATGAAATTGCTAATCTTGTCCATTCCTTCACTGTATTTCTTGTTTATGCTTACCTGTTTTCTTAGAAGTCTTGTTACCCACAATTGAAACTCTGCTTAGGTCTCAAGTAGATTCACAAAGTTAGACCCTTACAAAGACTTGCTGAATTCTGATAAGTTTATTCATTACAAGATGATGATAAATAGTTTTTGACAGGTTTTAATGTTTTTTGTTTAGTTAGCTTTGTTTAGTAGTAATTAATAGTTCTGGAATATAATTCTTCCTTTTCACATTTCACCTTATCTTTTCACCTACCCACTTGAAGTTTTGAATATATTCCATGTGTAACGAATATGATCAGTTTGTGTTCTGTCTATCACTGAGCACCCAACAATGATGGGGTGAGGGGGCACAGAGCAAATGTTGACAGCAGACTGCTCTATATTAAGCAAGTGGTTGTGTCATTACCACCTGCTCCCCAGCTGCATAAAAATACTGTCTGCTGGATGTAGTCTTGATAAAATACCCCAACAAATCTATCTGCTGCTTGAGAGTTGCCAAGCAGTGGCCATTTAAGGGAAAGCAGGTGCCTAAAGTAATAACCTTACCTTAAAGGTAATCTGCTAACTGCATTAGGAATAATCATATGCTTTATACTAGAACCTGTAAGTATTTTAACTTTTTTTTTTCTGAAAAGCCAGTTAACTGAGTTCTCTAACAAGAACCTACCAATGATAGAAATGTATCCTTTTTCAGACTTGTTTGTGTGTTTGGTTTTTGTCACTACTTTGTTCTCTGTCCCACAATCCTTTTCAACAGCTTTAAAACTGGATTTTCTACTTTAAGAAAATGCTTTTTAGAAAGGCCAGAAACTTTTTTTGCTTGAGCATTTCCAGTCTACAGTATATTGGCAGTAATTATATTGCCTCTAACTGAAAAGGCAGAGGAGGATCTTCATATGTCAAAATAGAATTTAGCATATTCATTTGTAATATAGTTCATGTATCTATGCATTGAGATCATAATGGTGCAGGATGCTAACACCTTGGCCTTTTGGTGGTGAATGTTCTGTAAATTTAACTGAACTTAGAGCACTCCATTTTTCTCTGCAGTTAAGAGTAATAAGGTAAAATTTGTGTTCTCTGTGTGTGTATAATACACAAATATGCATGTGTTTGTATATATACACATGCATGTATAGATACATAAATTGCATTCTTTATAAGAGGAAGTCTTGGTGTAATTTTGGGAAAAGCAGAGTGATTTTATACTAGTACCGTGTGCTATTGTATGATATTCCATCTGGACAAAAAAATCAAACCCTACATTTTCTGTATAGGTAAGTTGTGGTTTTTTATACATGCAATGAAATTGAGAGCGAGTAAATCTTCTGTTTAAAGTTACCTTAGTGTCAGGAACACTAAACTTGTAGTTGTCATTATATGTGATTAACAAGAGGCTTGTCACCAGCTGTAGCAAGGTCTGTTGCCTGTAAAAGGGGTATTTTTAAACTCCACCAAAACCATATTTGTTAATTTTACATCAACATTGAAAGGTGCAGATGGCGTGCTTTTTCTTGCATTGTTTCATTCTGTGTTCTCTTTGCAATCTCCTCTTTTTCTACTCTAATAGTTTGTTCTCATTCCAGTTTAGTGGTTTTTTTTCTTTTGCTTTCTCTGATCTGTATGCTCTCGCGCTCTCTCTCTCTCAACAGGCACTATGGAGCATTCACTATTAAGCTGTTTGGGCAGCTCTAGTCTGAGTACTGGTTTTCTTGTTGAGTTCTTCCCATGTGGCTGAGATCCATCATCAACATACCAGCTAGCAGCTGCCTGTTGTGCAACTTGGGGTTAGTTGTTTCATTGCAATGCTTGCTACTTAGAAATTGGTAAATAGTAAAACATGCTCAGAATTTAGCATAGTCTGCAATATTACTTAGCTGCTTCCTGCATGTTTGTAAACTTCCTACTAATTCACTTATGTAAAACAAACTTTGTATAATCCATGTTATTCATTCCTGGGATAATAATGTGTGTATTCATCACTATTTTCTTTCTAGTTCAACTGCCCAAATTCTGTGTGCGTTTGGATTATTTTCCTTTAACAGGGAGGGAAATTTTCAGCACTTCAATGTACTATTTTTGTTTCTGAAAACTGTTTTAATTCCTTTATTAACTCAACTTTCTCCCCTTTTCTCCCTATTTTGTGTGGTTTACAGTGGTTTGTATTCATGGAGTTATGCTCTGGCAGGTACTCAACCCTGCTTTTATTGTGAAAAGTGCTGCTTTTATTTCTTTACATTTTAAAAACCCAGGATTTTAATAAAATGAAGCAAGGGAAGAAAACATGTTTTACACTTGTTAAAATCTGTGTCCGTTTCTTAACTGATAGCCTTTAAACAGCCCAGTGATTTGTAGCAGGGGCTTGCTCTTTGTTAAGGTGTGAGTTCTTGTCTTTGTATGTGTCTGTGTGATTTATCCCTGGATGTGGCTTTTAAAAAATACTAGAAGTTTGCCAGTGTGAAACTGAGCATAATTCTTTTGGGACCAGGCAGTAGAGAAGGGAAAAATGTGTTTGTCTCCTCCATATTCTAATAGGAATCAAAACTAAAGAAAGAGTAAGAGAAACAGATTTGGACTCAAGTCCTGAGCTAAAGTGGGCAGGGAGGCTGGCAGACTTAGGAAAGCAATGCACAACATGATGTGGAGCTAGTAGATGAGGAAAGAAACTGAAATCTTGAGATTAAAGTGGGCTGAATATCCTGGTAGGGATGTAGGAACTGCAGCTGGTTGTATTAAGAAACAAGCAGAGCCACAAGGGAGGGTAAGAAGATGAGTAAGTTTAACAAAAAAAGAAAGTTGATGGTGAAAAAGCCTGAGCTAAGGCAAGGTTAGAAAGCAAAGATAGTTTGGGTCTGTCGTATGGCATGGTGGAAATGGGAAGAAAGGACTCGGATTGGTTATGTAAAGATAATTAAACAGATAGGAGTTACACAAATGAGATATAGGGCAGCTGAGACACAAAGGGAGACTGTAAGAGAATTTGATCTTAGGAAGAATAAATAGAATAGTACAAGTACTCTAAAAACTGTTCTTGCCAGCAGCTAAAACGTGTTTTCTGGACCTTGCTGTTATAGGCCCCACAGTAGAACACTGCAGGTACCCTGTTTTCTGGATCTTGCTGTCCTTTTGTCAGCAGCTAGTGGCATCCACTGACAAATTACTTAATCACAGTCCATTGCCTGTTTGTTAGTTTACAAACAGGACA